CTTCTATAGCAACTGAACAGAATTAGGTAAAGAGTAGCCCTTTGTGAAGATAAAAGGTTTTATCCATAACATTAATGAAGAGATGATCTGCTTAGCCACAACTAAATCTTTTATTTAAAACCTTTTATTGACTCAGTTACTGAGATGGGTTCTCGCTTTTTGCCTGGCCTGGCTCAGACCACCAGCCTTGAGATCTCTGCCTCCTGAAGTTTTTTTCTTTTTTGTTTGCATGGGTTTTGTTTTTTGTTTTTGAGGCAGGGTCCTGCTGTGTAGAAAAGGCTGACCTGGAACTCAATCCTGTCTCAGCCTCCTTAGTATTGGGATTATAAATGTGCACCACTGTGCTCGCCTTGATAATGATGTCTTCTTAGATCCTTGTAATTGTGGAGTTTTAGGCCTTTTTTTTTTTCCCAAAGAACATTGATCCTTTTCTAAACACTGAGGTCTTTAATTTCTTTTTCTTTTCTTTTTTTCGTGGAGAGAGGGACTGGGTTTGAACTCAGGGCCTATACCTTGAGCCACACCACTAGCCTTTTTTTTGTGATGGGTTTTTTTTCAAGATAGGGTCTTGAGAACTGTTTGCCCAGGCTGGCCTTAAACCACCATCCTCCTGATCTCTTGCTTCCTGAGTCACTAGGATTACAGGTGTGAGCCTCTGGTGCTCAGCAGGTCTTTTAATTTCTTGCATAAAAGCACTTGCTGTATCTGAAACAATACTCAAGTGTTTTTCTTTTCTTATTTTTGTTTATTCCTCTCATTTGAAAATAAAGTAGAAAATAGTAAGTCATAGTAAGCCAGTCAAAAAGGTGAATGTATAGTTGATCCAGGAATGAGACTTCTGTTTTTGACTTAAGCAAAAATACAGGACCTGCACAATATGTATGTTCACGAGGGTGTCTTAAGTTCTATGTAATGGCTACCAAAATGGTGGGTTCATTGGCAAACATGATGTTTCAATGATTTGGAAGAGTTTTACCAAGTTGATAGGAGGAGGGAGAGACTGAGTCTAGGATAACTTCTGGGTTCCTAGCTTGAACAACTCAAAGAGAAGAACTGAAAGAGGAGAGTGGGACTCATAGAAAGATGTCAGCATTAACCTGTGACACTTTCATATCATTCAGGCTGAATGTGATTTGCTGTTCTTTGAAGATCCAAGATGTTTGTCCTTTAGTGATCACAGGATGATTAACAATTAGAGCTTTCTTAGGAATCATTTTCGAGGGTGTGGCTCTAGTGGTAAATTGGCTGCCTTCTAAACCAAAGTCTTGAGTTCAAACCCCAGGACTGCCCCCTCCCCCCCAAAAAATCACTTAGTTCATACCCACCTCTTGCCCTCATTCATCCTTCAAACCATTGTTTGAATTCCCTTCACACTTTTCATGTGAAGTGGCCATTCAGGGAGATTAACCTTCTCAATTTTGTTAATTGTAATTTCATGATTTTTTTTTTCAGCAGTGTATGAGATTGAAGGAATTCTCTGGAATCTGTTCAGATTGTGAGGGTTGTGCATTTCTGGAAGGAAAGAAAGTCCAAAGCTTCCAACAACTTCTTAAGAGGAATTTGATCACCTAGAAAATAATCATTGGTCTACATGACTTCATAATGTTTCTTTTCTTTTTTGGAGACAAAGGTCTCACTGTAGCTCAGGGTGACTTCAAACTTGCTGTCCTTCTGCCTCAGTCTCTGAAGTGCTGGGAATACAGGCATGTGCCACCACTGGCTTCAATTCCCACAATTCTGAAATGGAGAATATTTCCCATCTGTGAGGATTATATGAGATTAGATGTAAGGCATTTATTACAGTGCTTAGCAAGTGTTCAACAAATGTTTAATAATATTAGCTTATAAAATGACATTGCCAGTGGATCTGAAACAATTTCATACCTTTAGTGGTTTTGACATTAAAGTGTTAACTAAATCTTGAGTTTTTAGGTTCAGATAAGGGCAGTATACATGATGAACATTGAATATAGTGGGATTTTCTTAGCTACTATGACAACATTTATGAATGTGTGGTTTGGAGGAATTATTTAAATTCTTTTTCCTAATTGTCTTTCAGTTCTTTTCAGGATAGATTCTTCAAGTAATTTGACTGTGTTGGCTTCAGTTTTGGAGTGTAGTAGCTGTGTTGAAGATTTAACTATTTGGTCTTACTGAAGTCAACACAGAACTTGCTGTGTTTTTTCTTCAGTGAAAAGTAAAATACAGAATTTAAAAAATCCCACAATATACTGGATGCCGAGGAAGTTGCTCAGAGGAAGAGCATGTGTGAGGCCCTGGGTTCAAAGTCTTAAAAATTTGTAACCCATTAATATAGTAAGAAATCAGTCTCAACTGTGTAGTGATGAGCAAAGTTTTAAAAAGGGAATATAATAACATCTAGTAATACATTTCATAAAATGTTTCCATGTAATTATGCGTATATGTCATACATTTTATGGTTATATATATAGTACATATTATTTGACAAATTTATGAATATATCCATGTGTGTTCTGGGTCATAATGTGAAATATATTACGCTGGGTCAGGTAGAAAAAATTTTGAGACACACTGCAGCATACACTAGTTCTTTTCTTCCTTTTCTGATCTTCTATTGTAAAACTCAAACTTTTTTTTATTTTATTATTCACATGTTCATACAATGCTTGGGTCATTTCTTCCCCCGCCCCCACCCCTTCCCTTACCACCCACTCCGCCCCCTCCCTCTCCCCCCCTTCCCCTCAATACCTGGCAGAAGTTTTTTTTTTTTTTTTTTTTTCTTATTTTTGCCTTTACTTTCCCTAATTTTGTTGAAGAGAGAGTATAAGCAATATAGGAAGGAACAAGTGTTTTTGCTGGTTGAGATAAGGATAGCTGTACAGGGAGTTGACTCATTAATTTCCTGTGCATGTGTGTTACCTTCTAGGTTAATTCTTTTTGATCTAACCTTTTCTCTAGTTCCTGGTCCCCTTTTCCTATTGGCCTCAGTTGCTTTTAAGTATCTGCTTTAGTTCTCTGCGTAAGGGGCAACAAATGTAGCTAATTTTTTAGGTGTCTTACCTATCTCACCTCCCTTGTGTCTAAAGCTTTTATCATGTGTTCAAAGTCCAATCCCTTGTTGTGTTTGCCCTTGATCTAATGTCCGCATATGAGGGGAGCAATACGTTTTGGTCTTTTGGGCCAGGCTAACCTCACTCAGAATGATGTTCTCCAATTCTATCCATTTACCAGCGAATGATAACATTTCGTTCTTCTCATGGCTGCATAAAATTCCATTGTGTATAATACCACATTTTCTTAATCCATTCGTCAGTTGGTGGCATTGGCTGTTTCCATAATTGGCTATTGGAATAGTGCGCAAAACATGGGTGCAGGTGCCTCTGGAGTAAACCTGTGTCACAGTCTTTTGGTATATCCCCAAGAGTGTATTTGCTGGATCAAATGGTAGATCAATGTTTAGCTTTTTAAAGTAGCCTCCAAATTTTTTTCAGTGGTTGGACTAGTTTACATTCCCACCCAAAGTGTAAGAGGGTTCTTTTTCCCTGCATCCTCGCAACACCTGTTTGTTGGTGTGTGCTAATGATGGCTATTCTAACAGGGGTGAAGGGGGTTGGGAAATCCAAAAAAAAACCCCCTTAAAATTTTTTTAAGGGTTTTAAGTTTTCTCTTCTAAGGTCTTACTTTATATAAAATACTTTTGTTTCCAACTCCTAGCTTGATACTTGGTAAATAGGGGACATGTTGACTGAACTTGGAGCAAGAAATATTATGGGCTGGTATGAGTGGTACAATCCTGTAATCTCAGCACTTGTGGGAGAGAGGCAAGAGGATCACAAGTTGGAGACCAGCCTGAGCTACACAGGCTTTTTTTTTTTTTTTTTTTGTGGGCAACTGGGTTTGAACTCAGGGCTTCATGCTTGCTAGACAGGTGCTCTTACTACTTGGGCCACTCCACTAGTCCTGTTTTTTTGTGTTGGGTATTTTCGAGATGGGGTCTCCCAAATTATTTGCCCAAGGTGGCCTCAAACTGTGATTCTCCTTATTTCTGCCTGCAAGTAGCTAGGATTACAAGTGTGGGCCACCCGGGCTGATTGAGACCCTGTCTTAAATCAAAACACTTCTCTCCCCACCCCTGCCCCCAAAATTAAAAAAAAAAAACCCTCCATATATTATGAAGATATATAGACCAGTTTGTATATTCTAGGTGATCAGTCCCCTTAGAAGTTGACAGCTTTGGACCTTATTTCTAGAAGTGCTAATCACAATTTTGAACAGATTCCCGAGAATTTCAGAAATCCCTGCCCACTGCCCTGTAAGGACTTTTTGACTCTCAATTAAGAACCCTTAAAGTAAGGGCTGGGGAATGTACCTCTGTGATAGAGCGTTTGCTTAGCATGTGGAAGGTCCTGGATTTAACCGCTGGCAATTAAAAAAGTGCAAGAGCTCTGAAAGCAACGGGGAGTAGTGGTGCAGGCCTGGAATTCAATTCTCTGTCTTCGGGAGTAATACAAAAACAAAAACCCAAACAAAATATATGGAGACTGAGGCAGGAGCATCGCAAGTTCGATGCTAGCCTGGGCTACATAGTGAGCAACTTTCTCAAAGAAAATTTTGCTGGTGTGGGAGGTCGAGAGTGGAAGAAGATTTGGGATTTGACAACTTTAAAAATTCTCCTACGTACAAATCGTGGGATTCTAGTTGGTGCTGGGAGGGCCCAAGCAGAGAATTTAGGGTTCTCTTCGTATGTTCCTGTCAAAGAAAAGACGATAGTGGAGACAATTTTAACCTATCGTTTACATACTTCATGCCGTTTGAATGCCACGATAATTCCGTGATCAGAGAAGAAAAAAGACCACCACCCGTAGGCTAAAACTTCTGGAGGAGCAGCCTGGCGGGGCCGCGGGGAAGAGGAAGGGGCGGGCCCGCGCATGCGCACCGCGCACCCAGGGCGTCGGCGACTCCAAGTTTCCTCCTACAGCCAGTCCAGTACGGTGGCCGACGGGAGCCAGATGCTGGGGATGAATGAAGGTGCTGAGTGCAGGCTGAGACATTCTTCTCCGCCTTACCCTTTCTCCAGTCTAACTCCTGCCTTTGTGCGGTGTCCCCATCCTGTCCCCCATCTTATCGACGACCCGGTGGGTCCCAGCGTCTGAGTTCTTGGTGCCCGAATCCACTCGGGGCACAGCTCGGGTTTGGGGAATCCGGATAATCGCCTAGGCCCAATTTCGGATTGCGCTCGCGATTTCTGCCGCGTCCCGCCTGTAGGATGCGGAAACCGGGTGGGGTTCCGTGAGGCTGGAGGGTAGATCTTAAGGTATGAAGCGTCCGCTTCTCAAGCCTCACCGTGGTTCCTGCTCCCGGTCGGCAGCCAGCCAGGCGTTTTCCTCACATGGAGGGACTTGTTGGTTCTGGTTACGACCAGGTCGGGTTGTCTTGTGAGCACACAGGTCTTGGCGCCTCTTGTCCACCACCCCTTCCCCTTCAGCCCTTCTGGTGGGTCAGTCCTGAGACAGTGGCCTTGGCTCTCCCTTTTTTGGGTACCTTTGATTACTCGTGAAGACAAGTGCCCAAGTGGGACACGTCTTTTCTTCGCTCACAGCTGATTGCGCCCACACATCTGCTCTTTACCCAGTAACATATAGGACATATGTGGCCCTCAGTGCCCCGATTTTGACGTTACTTTTGGCCAGTGAGGTGATTTCCCAGTTCTTTACATATGTCGGGTAGGCATGTGAAACCAAAGAGGTAAGGCTATGACTGTGCCATGTACTCTCATGTATGCTTCATGGATCTCATTGGGCCGGTATAGTGAAGGAAGTTTTGGACTGGGGTTTAGTACATGAGGGTTTGTCCTGGAGTTTTGCCACTAACTAGTAATGGCACCATTACTTAATTCTCTGGACCTCAGATTTCTTCTTTGTAAAATAAAAATATTGGAGCAGAATATCCCTAAGTCTGGAAGAGACATTAATATACTGTTTTCTTTCTCAATTTCTTGATGACAGTGGAGCTGTAGGGAGACCTACAAGCCTGATCTTTAATTGTGTCATTGCCAGTATAGGGGCCGACTAAAGATTCAGCACATTTTCCAGGTTTTTTGTTTGTTTTTGTTTTAAGGAGAGAGTTTTCTTACATATGGAAATTATACCCTTTTATTTTTTTGTTTGTTTTTGAATCATTAGGATCAACGGCGATGATGACAGAGTGTACCAGCCTTCAGTTTGTCAGCCCTTTTGCTTTTGAGGCAATGCAGAAGGTAGATGTTGTTCGCCTGGCATCTTTAAGTGATCCAGAATTAAGACTTCTCCTGCCCTGCTTGGTGCGGATGGCACTTTGCAACTGACTATAATGAGGGACTGACCGAGACCTTTGCAACAATTGAGCTGTGTAATGCACATGTGGGAATTTTTTTTTTTTTGAGTGCTTGGTTTAAACCTTGTGCAATAAATCTGCAAATAAGGCAGGTTTGCTGTAAATGGATTGAGATTAACTTGAATTTTCCAAAGAGTAGGGAATCTTTTTTTTTTTTTGAATTTTTTCTTTTATTCATATGTGAATACAATGTTTGGGTCATTTCTCCCCCCTTCCCCCACCCCCTCCCTTACCTACCCCGCCCCCTCCCTCTTTCTTTTTTTTTGACAGTATTGGGGTTTGAATTCAGAGCCTGGTGCAGGTCCTCTACCACTTGAGCCATGTCTCCAGCCCTGGGAATCAAATGTTTTTCGGAGCTCCTCCTAAAAGAAAGAATGAGAGTCTAAACTTTGGAGAGCATTTTACTTTGGTCTTTTCTATTTGTAGTTAATACTCTAGGGTCTTCCAAATTTTAAAATGTTGTGTAAAGAACTTTGACCCTGTAATGTTGCATTTAGCCTAAACCCATTAGGTCAGTTACTCTCAATGGGAGCTAGATTAAAAGGATTTATTGGATTCACATGAGAGGTTTTTAAGATTATGTTGATTTCCAAAGCTTCTGGACTGATACTACATCCTTCCTTGCCCATTGGGAATCCAGAAGTAAGCCATTGTTAACAGAAGTGCGTGTTAACTATCAGTCTTGATGGAGTCTTTACATAGATTTTGAATTCCTGAAATAAGTAGGCAAACTAAATAGTATTTCAGAAGTAATAGAGAACATTTCAAATGTATAAGTGCTTGTAGATTATTTTAGTAACATATTTTTATGCAATTATTTCCATACCAGTGTTCTCATATAATTGTTACTTTCCATGTTTTTACTTACTTAGGCATAAACTTGGAGGAGGCAGTGGAGAGAGCATCCTGGTATCACAGCTTCAGCATGGACTAACATTAGAATTTGAACACAGTGATTCACCTCGTCGATTGCGTCTTGTGCTTAGTGAACTGTTGGCAATTATGAACAAGGTGCTTTTTTTTTTTTTTTTATTTCATTGATTTCATTTTTGTTTTCCTTTCAAAGGGTGACAGGATAGTAAAAGCATGCCTAATGGCACTATTTGCTTTCACTTATACCTATTCTGCATTCTCTATCACAGGGATTTCTCCCCTTCCCTGTTTGAAATCCATGCAGTAGCTTCTTAGCATTTAGAAAGGAATTTATCTCAAGAGTTATATAAATTACCGAGTTTGGTAATATCTTCATAGGATTTAATTTCTCTCATAGAATGTAGTGAAGTGTAACTGAAAAATGTGTGTGATTCATTTAGACACTGAATAAGCATTAAATACCTCATCTATGACAGTGAATAAGGAGTATCAAAGCCTAATTAGATATAGGATGGTCCTCATACACTAGATGACTTAATTGCTTCTAATGAAGGCTATTCAAGTTCTATTCTCAGCAAAATTATAGATTAGGGCATGGACCTTTGGGTAATCATGGTTGATTGAATCTCTGAATTTAAAGTTTCTGGATGTCAAGGATTTATCATATAAAGAACGAAATTGGATCTTCATATTAGGATGATATGAGATTAGGCAAAGTTATTTACTAGTAGAACTTTTGGGTCAGTTCACTACTGTAAGTAAAATTTAGTTTTACAAATCGTGGACAAAAAAGATAAAATTCTATTTCCAAAGAAAATTCTGATAGGATTTTAGCTAATTTTAGATAAGGTTTTTAGGATATATTACAGATCTTTTAATTTGTATCATAAATAATAATTTCCTTCTATTCTTTTCCACTATACTGACACTATTTAATTTCAAGCAATTTTTTTCTCTAAATCTTTTTCTTACTACCTCATTTGATGGCTATGTTAAGAGATTTTCAATGTTTTAGTGTAGTGTTTTTCATCATATGGGAACTGTGATAAAATTGCTATGGGAAATTTTCAAAAAAGTTAGCAGTTTTGCTGATCTAAGTTCATTTTTCTTTTTTACTTTTTCTTCTTTTGTTTTTTGAGACAAGGTCTCACTATGTAGCCCAGGTTGGCTACAAGCTGATTATCTTTCAGCCTCTCAAGTACAAGAATCACAGGTGTATACTGTTGCACCTGGCTCTTAAGTTTTTTTCTTTTTCTTTTAGCAGTATAGAGCACTATCACTTTTATTGCTCCCCATATCTTCTAAGGTTTTTTTGTTTGTTTGTTTGTTTTGAGATAGGATCTTGCTATGTAACCCAGGCTGTCCTGAAACTCATAGTCCTTCTGTCTCAGACTCCCTAATGCTGGGATTACAGGAGTACACTACCACACCCAGCTTTTAAAAAATAATTTTCAAGGTAACTTTTATTTTCATAAAATCACTTAGGTGAATACCAAAAGTTCGTTGAAGAAAACCAGAAATAGTTTTTAAGGCCTTTGAACATGCAGTGAGCATCATCTTTTAAAGATGGTGGAAAAGATGTTTGTCTTTTATTGAACTCACCTAACAAAGGACCCTCAACTGTGGGGTGATCTCAGCAAAACAAACATTGCTGAGATTTACTGAGTCATCTACTTGGGAGGAAGGAGGAGAGAAGGAAGGATGGAGGAGTAGAATGTTCCAACAGGGATATGGCTATTTGCCATACCTCTCCCCAGAAGTCCACAGACAATGACTACAATGAAGATGAAGCAAAGAAAGATATCTGAAGACTTTTCTACTTTCAAAAAAAAAGTACATTTTACTCTTTTGAATCATCCATAATCATTTCACCTCTCTACTGTTCCTCATTTGTGGGAATCATTTCCATGGCAACCCTACTCTAAATTGTGCAATTTCCCCTATATCAGACTTGTTTTCCTCTATATCTGGTACTCCAGGAAGTCCTCTAAATTTTAATTCTTTTTTTTTTTCGTATAGTTCATTCAAAGCTGAATGAATTTATATTTGTTATACTGCTTTAAGTTTATGGTTTTGGGATTTTTAAGCAACAGTTTATATAGATATCATTTCTAGATCATTTCTTTGGCTTACCTTATCCTTTAATTTTTGATATCTCCAAATATATAGATAGAAATCATTTTTTTTTAAATCTCTTTTGAGACAGGGACTTGCTCTGTAGTTCAGTTTGGTCTCAAACTCAGTCCTCCTATCTCTGCACTATAATGGTTTATAGGCACCTCACCTAGCAGAAATCAGTTCTTGAGACTAATGCTACTGTGTCTGAGTAGCAATTGTGGTTCAGTTGATTGAAATTGATCAAGTACCACATATTCTACTGCAGTGTATTAGTGACATATTACAGGTCATTGTCTGTTTGTGTAACAATCAATTACAGAAACAGTAAGCGATTTGATTGCTCCCTGAAGCTGACAGTGTTCATTTCTTTTTTCGTTTTTCTTTTAAGGTATCAGAGTCCAATGGAGAATTTTTTTTCAAGTCTTCTGAGCTCTTTGAGAGTCCAGTGTATTTGGAGGAAGCTGCAGATGTACTTTGTATTTTACAAGCAGGTACTATACTGAAGTGCCAAGATACATTTTTGATGTAGTTTTCTGTTAAGTGATACTGTGTAACTTCTTATCCTGGAATATGATTTTAATGATCATTTAATAAAAATAGGCCTTAACAATTTGAGTAAAAATGACTAACAGAAGACTATACTTTGAGGGATCATTTCTATAATTCATTACTAGAGTAGAGATCTCTGATCATTTAGGGTGCAGAAACCATGAGGAGGCTGGCTCCTTGTGTTGCTTTATTGTGGCTGCCATTTGCCATTAATGATCATTCTCTTCTTTTAACAGAGTAAGAGGGAGAGAGTGCAGTCTGAGTGGTTTTCTTTTTTAAAAAGAAAAAAATGACTAATAGCACAATGATTAAATATATTTGTAAAGTATAGTGTATTTTGTACATATTATATATTTAATTAGTGATTTTAATGCTTGTTAAAGATTTTGAAAATTGTTCATAGTATGTTAAAAGAAAAAAGCAAAGGGCAAAGTGATAAATATAATATCTGTTTTATTAAAAGTTAGAAACAGCACCTATGGGGGGACTCAAATAAAATATTTAATATTACTAACTTTGAGTAATAGAATTAGAGCTAGTTTTAATTTTCTTCAATGTACCTTTTTGTATTTCCAGGTTCTTTATAATAGGTATATATGGTAGAAAAAATCAGGAAGATAGGAAAATCCAAGGAAGATTTTTGTGAAAATCTGTCTTTAGACTAACAGTGCCTAATAAAACTTTCTACAGTGTTCTGTGTTGTGTTGCCCAGTTTTAGTCACTAGCCACATAGGGCTAAGAATTAATTGAAATGTGGCTAGTGTAGCTGAGGAACTGAACTGTTTTTAGGTTTTATTTAATGTAAATATTCATGTGTGGCTAATGGCTAGCCTACTGAATAGCTCAGCTCAAAATTAAGAGAAGAAAGTACTTTAATCGCATTTTGGTGACTAATCGCATTTCATTTAATATATTAATGAAATGTCACTCTCTAATAGTGACATTGACTTTTTTTTTTCTTATAGAGCTGCCTTCCCTGCTTCCTATAGTTGATGTAGCTGAAGCCTTACTACATGTTAGAAATGGTGCTTGGTTCTTGTGTCTCTTGGTGGCCAATGTTCCTGATAGTTTTAATGAAGGTAAATATTTTTTTAAAAGTGGGACATTGAAGAGATTTGGTTGAGTGTGTACAGGACTTCCTTTTTTTTTTTTTTTTGAGACAGGGTCTTCATTATATAGCCCAAACTGGCTTGAAACTCACTATTAGTCTAGCCTGGCCTTGAACTCTAGATTTTCCTCCTCTGCCTCTCCAATGCTGGGGTTATAAGCATGAGTTACCAAAAACTGGTTCAAGGTGGGACTGGGTTTTGAACTTAGGGCTTTGAGCTTGCAAAGCAGGCCCTCTATTACTTGAGGCACACCTTCAGTCTGTTTTGCTCTGGTTATTATTGGATATGGGGTCTCTTGAATCATTTGTCCTGGTTGGCCTCAAACTGTGGTCCTCAGGATCTCAGCCTCCCAAGCAGCTAGCATAACAAGCATGAGTCACCAGCGCAGGGTTTCAAATATATTTATTTTTTCCTTTTACTCCTTTTATCTTTCTAGGTCTATAGTTTCAAGTGTTTGGGTGATATTGTCCCATAGGTTGCTATTCATTTTTTAAGGCTTTTTCTTTCTTTGTTTCATTTTGACCTAGTTTCTTTTGCCTCACTTTGCCCCTCATGTTTTTCTTATGTAATGTCTAATCTGCATAAATGATTAATTTTCAAGGGTAAAGAAAATGGTTTATAACATCTTAATGACCAAGCTGAAATATTTAGTTTGTAGGGGTCTGATCAAAAATGGAGAACGACAAGATGAAGAAAGTCTTGGAGGAAGGCGCAGGACAGATGCCTTACGTTTCTTATGTAAAATGAATCCTTCTCAGGCTCTCAAAGTCCGAGGCATGGTGGTAAGAGATCCTATTGTTTTTATGAGACAAAGCCTTTTACAAAAGGACAAAGTCCTTTTATATAGATGTTTTCAAAATCTTATGGCGGTTAGGAATTTTAATTATATACTGAATGTATTGCCTTCCTCTGAGGTTTTTTTTTTGTGAGATTTTGAAACATTATTTTGAAGCATCCTGGTTCTTTTCCTTATGATACTGAGTTCAATTAATTAATTTTTTTGCTGTGTTAGGTGGAAGAATGTCACTTGCCAGGCCTTGGAGTAGCTCTGACATTGGATCATACTAAAAATGAAGCTTGTGAGGATGGAGTAAGTGACTTGGTTTGTTTTGTTAGTGGTTTGCTTCTTGGAACAAACGCCAAAGTCCGGACTTGGTTTGGAACTTTTATCCGAAATGGACAGCAGGTGAGGGTTAAATATATATGTCGGAAAGGATCAGTATTTTTGTTGTTTTCTGAGACAGTCTCACCATTTAGCCAACCTGGCCTGGAACTCAAAAGGTATGCCAGACTGGCTTTGAACAGCCTCCCGAGTGCTGTGATTGCAGGTGTGCACCATCATGGATGGCAAACAACAATTTTAATGTTATTTTCCTAAACAACATCAAAAAATTAGTGAGAATAATAGTATTGTTCTATGTTTTTCAATTCTGTTCAGTGTCTAGTTTAATAGAAGCCTTTGAAAGAAGACACTGAACACTTGTGAGAAAATAGGAGAAGAGAAAAAAGGCAATGTCTTTTTTTTTTTTTTCTTTTATTCATATGTGTATACAATGTTTGGGTCATTTCTCTCCCTTCCCCAAGCCCCCTCCCTTACCTAACCCGCCCCCCTCCCTTTCTCCCACTACCCCCTCGCTACCAGGCAGAGACTATTTTGCCATTATCTCTCATTTTGTTGAAGAGAGAGTATAAGCAATAGTAGAAAGGACCAAGAGTTTTTGCTAGTTGAGATAAGGATAGCTATACAGGGAGTTGACTCGCATTGCTTTCCTGTACCTTCTAAATTAATTCTTCTCAAACTAACCTTTTCTGTAGTTCCTGGTCCCCTTCTCCTATTGGCCTCTGTCACTTTAAAGTATCTGCATTAGTTTCTCTGTATTGAGGGCAACAAATGCTATCTAGTTTTTTGGGTGTCTTAGCTATCCTCATACCTTCCTTGTGTGCTCTCGCTTTTATCATGTGATCAAAGTCCACTCCCCTTGTTGTGTTTGCCCTTGATCTAATGTCCGCATATGAGGGAGAACATACGATGTTTGGTCTTTTGGGCCAGGCTAACAAGGCAATGTCTTAATTATTATTAAGGAAATACTTTGGCCTTTCTGGCCCCTCCTGAAAGAATCTTGGGAATCTCCAGGGTCCTGGGTCAGACTCAGAACTGTTACACTAGGTCACGAAAACAAGTTGTATTCTGTAATGTATGTATGTATGTATATATGTGCATATATACGTGTATATGTAATATTTCTTTATGTATATATATAAAACACATATAACATGAATTCACCATTTACTCATTTTTAGGTGTGTAGTTCAGTGGCAGTAAGGACAGTCACAGTGTTGAGCAACTATTGTCACTGTCCATTTTTACAACTTTTTTTTTTTAATTCATTTTTTCACATATGCATACATTGGTTGGGCCACTTCTCTCCCCTGTCCCCGCCCTCTCCCTTCCCCCCACTCCCCTCACTTCCAGGCAGAACCTGTTCTGCCCTTATCTCTAATTTTGTTGAAGAGAAAACATAAGCAATAATAAGAAAGACAAAGCGTTTTTGCTAGTTGAGAGAAGGATAGCTATACAGAGAGATTCCTAGCATTGATTCCATGTACAAATGTGTTACAACCCAAGTTGATTAATCTCTAACTCACCTTTTCACTAGTTCTGATCCCCTTCTCATATTGACCTCTGCCGCTTTAAGGTTTCTGTATTAGTTCCTCTGTAGTGGGGACACCAAATTCTTTTTTGTTTTGGATTTCTAACTTATCCCCATACCTCCCGTATGTGCTCTCCCCTTATCATGTGACCCAAGTCCAACCACATTGTTGTATTTGTCCTAGATCTAAAGTCCACATATGAGGGAGAACATACGATTTTTGGTCTTCTGAGCTTGGCTATCCTCTTTCAGAATGATGTTCTCCAGTTCTATCCATTTACTTGCAAATGATAAGATTTCATTCTTTTTCATGGCTGAGTAAAATTCCATTGTGTATAAATACCACTTTTTTTTAATCCATTCGTCAGTAGTGGGGCATCTTGACTGTTTCCATAACTTGGCTATTGTGAATAGCGCTGCAGTAAACATGGGTATGCAGGTGCCTCTGGAGTAACCTGTGTCGCATTCCTTTGGGTATATACCCAGGAGTGGAATCATTTCTGCAACTTTTTTTTATCATCCCAAATAGAGTCTCTAAACCATTAAACTCTATTTTTCTTTTCCCCACATTTCCTGATAACCTTATTCTACTTTCTGTCTCTATGAATTTACCCTTTCTCACCTGAGTGGAATCACAAAATAGTTGTCATTTTTGTATTTGACTTATTTTCTTTAGCATACTGTTTTCAAGGTTCATCCATATTATAACATGTATCAGAATTTCCTTAGGCCGGTGTGGTGGTTCATACTTATAATCCCAACACTTGGGAGATGGAGGCAAAAATTTGAAGCCAGCCTGGGTTACATAGTAAGTTCATGGCCAGCCTGGGTTACATAGTGAGATTCTGTATTACATCTCTCCCTCAAAACAAACAAACAAACAAAAAACAGAAGAAAAAAGAATTCCTTTCTCTTTTTTTCTTTTTTTTGTTGGTACTTGAGTTTGAACTCAGCGCCTCACGCTTGCTAGGCAGGCCTCTACCACTTGAGCCATCTGCCTGCTGTGTTTTTTGTGTTGAGTTTTTTAACTTTTTGCCTGGGCTGGAGTTGAACCACTATCCTGCTGATCTCTGCCTTCCGAATAGCTAGGATTATAGGTTTGAGTCAGCAGCACCTGGCTATTTGTTTCTCTTTTAAGGCTGAATATTAGGCTGTTGTTTTCATGTACCACATTTTTTGCATTTACATGTTGGTGGGTGTAATATCTCTCTCTGTCTCTCTCTCTCTCTCTCTCTCTCTCTCTCTCTCTCTCTCTCTATATATATATATATATATATATATATATATATCTGTATCTTTCTTGCCTGCTAGGCAAGTGGTCCACCACTTACAGCTACATTTCCAGCCTTTTAAAATTTTGTTTTAGACAGGGTTTAGACAAGTTACCCGGGTTGGCCTTGAAATTTTGATCCTCCTGCCTCAGTTTCCCAAGTAGCTAGAATTATAGATGTGCTTCACCATGTCTGGCCCATATTTTGCAACAGTTTTTAAGTTGCAAAATATTTTAATTTTTTAAAAAAATGTTTTGTAGTAACAATATAATTCTTTTAAAGGAACAAATGCAGATTAACTTGTTAACTCAGGATGTACACTACTTAGGATCTCTAGTCTCCTTCCTTCCCTCCCTCCTTTATCTCCCTCCCTTCCTTGTGTTTGTGAGGCAAGTGCTCTATGGCCTCAACCCTTTTGTTTTTAATTTTTTAACTTATTAAACATTATTGTCATTATTTTTATGGTCCTGGGGTTTGAACTCAGGGCCTCATTCTTGTTGACAAGTGTACTGTCACTTAAGCCATGCCTCCAGTCCTTTTGATTTTTTTAGTTTGTTTTTATGATAGGATGTGGCACTAACTTTGCTGGAGTGGCCTCCAATGGCTATCCTCCTACCTTTGCCTCCTGAGTAGCTAGTATCAAAGTTTTGTGCCAGCATGCCTAACCCTATTTTGTTTTTGAAATAAGGGTCTCATTAACTTTGCCTGTGCTGGCCTTGCACTCTCCATCCAAATGTCTGTATCTCCTGAGTGCCTGGGATGGCTTGTGCCACCATGTCCAGCTCCTTTAGTCCATTTTTTATGCTACTACTAAATCACTGCATTTTTCTACATCCAAGATCAACTTTATTTATCACTCACTTGTAAACTGTTTTTCAGTTTTGTTTTTTAAAAGGAAATTAACATTTGTTGTATGACTTCTATATGTATGGCGCTGTCTGTCCCTGCACTTGGTGTGCTCACCTTGTTTCTAATTGTCCTGTGTATGTAATAAAATTTTATTTTTGAACTTGACAGTTATTACTAAATCAGGTTTATCATATTTTACATGGAAACATTCTAAGAATAATAGATAACTAACATTTGCCTAGCTCTTTGTAGTTTGGAACTGCTCTCATATTTATTACCTTCATTCATTAATGTACTTAACAGACACCGAGTGCTTGCTACTTGTCAGGCACAGTGTTAGGCCCTGCAGAGTGAGAGATGACTTAAGATATTCTCTGCTTGAAGAACTGCAGGGATTACAAACTTGTAAACTCTTAATTACAACAGCTCTATAAGGATCATATTACTCATAAAATACTCATTTCCAATTCAGTGGTTCAGAGAGGTTAATTAATGTTCCATAAAGTATAGTCATGTAAAACTAGAGCTCGTATTTAAACTCAAGATCTTCTTTCTCCAAACTATGAGTACTTGCTATTGCACTGCAATATGTAGTTGAAAGTATCTTTAAATAATATTCTGTAGTTCAAATTTTTAGTAATTCTTTTCTCTGCATCCAATCGAAGCAAGGTGTGTAGGTCAGTGGATTTTGAGTTTACTTGAATTTTTAAAATGTGATTCTGAAGTTATAACAGTGACCTCAAATGGATCAATTTCAAGTGCTTAAATGGGAAGATCTCTTTGAGCTTTTTTTTAATTTAGTAAATGCCCCATGCTCTTTTCTTTTTGTGATTCATATTTCTTACAGAGAAAAAGAGAGACCAGCAGTTCTGTCCTTTGGCAGATGAGAAGGCAGCTTCTTCTGGAGTTGATGGGTATTCTTCCCACAGTAAGAAGTACCCGCATTGTGGAAGAAGCTGATGTGGAGATGGAGCCCAATGTGTCTGTGTATTCAGGGCTGAAAGAAGAGCATGTGGTGAAAGCCAGTGCACTCTTACGTTTGTACTGTGCTTTGATGGGGATCGCCGGACTCAAGTATTCCATAATTTGTTATTTTATCTTTCTGTCATTTTACTTTCTTCTTTTTGGCCCACAAAATGAGTCAAAGCCCTTTATTGAGAGGATTCAAGTTTCTTATTGTGCTCATGTAGTGAGCTGGCTTTTATCAAGATTGCAGTCCTAAGTGTTGGGACTGCATTTCTAACAGGGTTGTATTTATCTGTTTTGGTCTGATTGTAAATAGAACCATGTAAATACAGAAAGGGCCAAAGTAGTTTATCAATTTCTAATCACAGTGAAAAGAAAACCTGTGATCTTATCACATGTTGACAACTCTAATGAATGATCCTTTACCTGGCCTAAGTAGCTAATTGAAGTAAATCTCTTGTATGTCTCCTTTTGCAGCTGAGATCATAAATTGCTTAAGATTGATAGGATGTGCCTTTTTTTTTTTGGTGGGACTGAGGTTTGAATTTAGGGCTTCACACTTGCAAAGCAGGCACTCTTATCACTTGAGCTGTATCTCTAGTCCATTTTGCTCGGTTATATTAGAGATAGAGTCTTGTGAACTATTTGGCTGGGCTGGCCTTAAACTGTGATCCTCCTGATCTCAGCCTCCTGAGTAGCTGTGATTACAGATGTGAGCCATTAGTGCCCAACTGATAGGATTGGTTATTAAGCACAATGTTTCTTAGTTGCTGTAGCACATCCTTTTGGATAATGCCCTCAACTATTGTATGTACAGGCTTCACTTTGTGTATCTCTAATACATATGAATGTCAGGTAAATTTAGTTAAAAAACATTTGTTCTTCAATGTGGCTCAAATAACAGTTACCATAATACATTAACCTGATAATTATATAAAGTACAATCTTGGCTACAAACTCTTTAGGACACATCACTACATGAACAACACATACATGTCATGGTCAGTGGGCACTGGCATCACTTTTTGACAGTATGTTGGTGACTATGCACTTCATACCTGTTATTCAGTTCTTTCAAAAACAATAAAATAGGTAGTAATATTCTCTCCTTGTTTGTCAGTGATAAATCCATGTGACATTTTACAAAAGTATAAGTTTTACAATAACAAGAAGAAGGTAAGGGCTGTTCCAGCTGCTCTCAGTAAGGTTTTTACAAAGAAAGAAGACATTTTCATTCCCCACATTTCTAATGTTTTTAATTACGGAGTTCCATATAAATATTAGTTTTTCTCTTTTTCTTTTGATTTTTTAAAATTTATTTTTGATTTTTAAAAATTATTTGTCTATTTTTTATTCATATGTGCATACAATGTTTAGGTCATTTCTCCCTCCTCCCCCAACCCCCTCCCTTATCCCCCACCCGCCTCCTCCCTCTCCCTCCAACATCCTCAATACCTGGCAGAAACCATTTTGCCTTTATCTCTAATTTTGTTGTATAGAGAGTATAAGCAGTAATAGGAAGGACCAAGGGTTTTTGCTAGTTGAGATAAGGATAGCTATACAGGGAGTTGACTCACATTGATTTCCTGTGGTGTGTTACCTTCTAGGTTTAATTCTTTTTGATCTAACCTTTTCTCTAGTTCCTGGTCCCCTTTTCCTATTGGCCTCAGTTGCTTTAAGGTATCTGCTTTAGTTTCTCTGCATTAGGGCAACAAATGCTAATTTGTTTTTTAGGTGTCTTACCTATCCTCACCTCCTTGTGTGCTCTCTCTGCTTTTATCATGTGCTCAAAGTCCAATCCCTTGTTGTGTTTGCCCTTGATCTAATGTCCACATATGAGGGAGAACATACGATTTTTGGTCTTTTGGGCCAGGCTAACCTCACTCAGAATGATGTTCTCCAATTCCATCCATTTACCAGCGAATGATAACATTTCGTTCTTCTTCATGGCTGCATAAAATTCCATTGTGTATAGATACCACATTTTCTTAATCCATTCGTCAGTGGTGGGGCATCTTGGCTGTTTCCATAACTTGGCTATTGTGAATAGTGCCGCAATAAACATGGGTGCAGGTGCCTCTGGAGTAAGTGTCACAGTCTTTTGGGTATATCCCAAGAGTGGTATTGCTGGATCAAATGGTAGATCAATGTTTAGCTTTTTAAGTAGCCTCCAAATTTTTTTCCAGAGTGGTTGTACTAGTTACATTCCCACCAACAGTGTAAGAGGGTTCCTTTTTCCCGCATCCTCGCCAACACCTGTTGTTGGTGGTGTTGCTGATGATGGCTATTCTAACAGGGGTGAGGTGGAATCTTAGTGTGGTTTTAATTTGCATTTCCTTTATTGCTAGAGATGGTGAGCATTTTTTCATGTGTTTTTGGCCATTTGAATTTCTTCTTTTGAGAAAGTTCTGTTTAGTTCACTTGCCCATTTCTTTATTGGTTCATTAGTTTTGGGAGAATTTAGTTTTTTAAGTTCCCTATATATTCTGGTTATCAGTCCTTTGTGTGTAGCTGGCAAATATTTTCTCCCACTCTGTGGGTGTTCTCTTCAGTTTAGAGACCATTTCTTTTGATGAACAGAAGCTTTTTAGTTTTATGAAGTCCCATTTATCTATGCTATCTCTTAGTTGCTGTGCTGCTGGGGTTTCATTGAGAAAGTTCTTACCTATACTAACTCCAGAGTATTTCCTACTCTTTCTGTATCAACTTTAGAGTTTGGGTCTGATATTAAGATCCTTGATCCATTTTGAGTTAATCTTGGTATAGGGTGATATACATGGATCTAGTTTCAGTTTTTTGCAGACTGCTAACCAGTTTTCCAGCAGTTTTTGTTGAAGAGGCTGCTTTTCTCCATCGTATATTTTTAGCTCCTTTGTCAAAGACAAGTTGGTTATAGTTGTGTAGCTTCATATCTGGATCCTCTATTCTGTTCCACTGGTCTTCATGTCTGTTTTTGTGCCAGTACCATGCTGTTTTTATCGTTACTCTTTGTAATATAGTTTGAAGTCAGGTATTGTGATACCTCCAGCATTGTTCTTTTGACTGAGTATTGCCTTGGCTATTCGTGGCCTCTTGTGTTTCCATATAAATTTAATGTAGATTTTTCAATCTCTTTAATGAATGTCATTGGGATTTTTATGGGAATTGCATTAAACATGTAGATTACTTTTGGGAGTATAGACATTTTTACTATGTTGATTCTACCAATCCATGAGCATGGGAGATCTCTCCACTTTCTATAGTCTTCCTCAATCTCTTTCTTCAGAAGTTTATAGTTTTCCTTGTAGAGGTTTTCACATCTTTTGTTAGGTTTACACCTAGGTATTTGATTTTTTTTGAGGCTATTGTAAATGGAATTGTTTTCATATATTCTTCTCAGTTTGTCATTATTAGTGTATAGAAATGCTAATGATTTTTCTATGTTGATTTTATATCTGCTACCTTGCTGTAGCTATTGATGGTCTAGGACTTTTGAGTAGAGTTTTTTGGGTCTTAAGGTATAGGATCATGTCATCTGCAAAAGGGATATTTTGACAGTTTTTTACCTATTTGTATTCCTTTTATTCCTTCTTCTTGCCTAATTGCTCTGGCTAGGAATTCCAGTACTATGTTGAATAGGAGTGGGATAGTGGGCATCTTGTTTGTTCTGATTTAGAGGGAATGGTTTTCAGTTTTTCTCTGTTAAGTATAATGCTGGCTGTAGGTTTGTCATATATAGCTTTTATAATGTTGAGGTACTTTCCTTCTATTCCTAGTTTTCTTAGAGCTTTTATCATGAAAATGGTGTTGGATCTTATCAAAGGCTTTTTCTGCATCTATTGAGATGATCAAGTGGTTTTTGTCTTTGCTTCTGTTAATGTGGTTTATTATGTTTATTGATTTTCATATGTTGAACTACCCCTGCATTCCTGGGATGAAGCCTACTTGGTCGTGGTGAATAATCTTTTTGATGTGTTGTTGAATTTGGTTTGCCATTATTTTATTGAGGATTTTTGCATCAATGTTCTTTAAGGAGATTGGCCTATAGTTCTCCTTTTTGGAGGTGTCTTTGTCTGGTTTTGGGATAAGTGTAATACTGGCTTCATAAAATGTGTTAGGCAGTTTTCCTTCCCTTTCTATTTCGTGGAACAGTTTAAGGAGGGTTGGTGTCAGTTCTTTAAAGGTCTGATAGAATTCAGCAGAGAATCCATCAGGTCCTGGCCTTTTCTTTTGGGGAGACTCTTGATTGCTGCTTCAATTTCATTTTGTGGTATAGATCTATTCAGGTGATTAATATCCTCTTGGTTCAGTTTTGGATGATCATATGTATCTAGAAATCTGTCCATTTCTTTAAGATTTTCAAATTTATTTGAATATAGGTTCTCGAAGTAGTCTCTGATGATTTCCTGGACTTTGATGGTGTTTGTTGTTATCTCCCTTTTGCATTCCTATTCTACTAATTTGGTTTTTTTCTCTCATTTTAGTCAGGTTTGCCAGGGTCTGTCATTGTTTATTTTTTCAAGAACCAACTTTTTGTTTCATTAATCTTTTATGGTTTGTTTGGTTTCTTTTTTGATTTCAGCTCTTATTTTATTATTTCTCTCTTCTATTTGTTTTGGGATTTTCTTGTTCTTGTTTTCTAGGAGTTTGAGATGTATCATTAGGTTTTGATTTGGGATCTTCAGTCTTTTTAATATGCACTCATGAACTTGCCTTCAGCTGCCTGTGTCCCATAGGTTCCGGTAGGTTGTGTTTTCATTTTCATTGACTTCAGGAACTTTTTAATTTCCTCTTTTATTTCATCAATGACCATTGTTCATTAAGTAATGAGTTATTCAGTTTCCAGCTGTTTGCATGTTTTTTGTCTTTACTTTTGTTGTTGAGATCCAATTTTATTGCATTGTGATCAGATAGAATGCATGGTATAATTTCTATTTTCTTATATTTGCTGAGGCTTGCTTTGTGCCCTAGGATATGATCTATTTTGGAGAAAGTTCCATGGGCTGCTGAGAAGAATGTATATTGTGTAGAAGTTGGATGAAATGTTCTGTAGACATCAACTAGGCACATTTGATCTATTGTATATTTTAGATCTAGGATTTGTTTATTGATTTTTTGTTTGGATGACCTATCTATTGATGATAATGGTGTGTTAAAGTCTCCCACGACCACTGTGTTGGAGTTAATATATGCTTTTAGGTCCTTCAGGGAATGTTTGATGAAATTGTGTGCGTTGATATTGGTTGCATATAGGTTGATACCTGTTATTTCCTTTTGGTCTATTTCCCCTTTTATTAATATGGAATGTCCTTCTTTATGTTGTTTGATCAATGTACGTTTGAAGTGTACCTTGTCAGAGATAAGTATTGCTGCTTGCCTGTTTTCGGGGACCATTGGCTTGGTAAATCTTCTTCCAGTGTTTCATCCTGAGCCTATGTTTATTTCTGTTTTTGGCATGGGTCTCCTGTAAGCAAGAAATTGTTGGATCTTCCTTTTTAATCCATTTTGTCAAACGGTGCCTTTTGATGGGGGAATTTAGTCCATTAACATTAAGTGTTAGTACTGATAGGTATGTGGGGATTTCTATCATTTCGTTGTTTGAAGGTTTGATTGTGTGTACCTAAGTTGAGTTTTACTCTCTACTTTCTTGCTTTTTCTTTTCCTGTAGTTTGGTGATGCCTGCCCTTTCAAGGTTATTTTGGGTTTCACTTTCTGTGTGCAGAGTCCCTTGAAGAATCTTTTGTAGTGGCTTTGTGGTCACATATTGTTTTAGTTTCTACTTATCATGGAAGACTTTTATTGCTCCAACTTTTGAATGATAGTTTTGCTGCGTAGAGTATGCTGGGGTTGAAGTTATTTTCATACAGTGCCTGGATGGTCTCACCCAAGATCTTCTTGCTTTTAATGTTTCTGTTGAGAAGTCTGCTGAGATTTTGATGGGTTTACCTTTGTATGTTACTTGTTTTTTCTCTCTTACAGCCTTCAATATTCTTTCTTTAGTTCTGTACTGTTGTTTTAATGATAATATGCTGTGGGGTAGTTCTATTTTGGTCTGGTCTGTTTGGTGTCCTGGAGGCCTCTTGCATCTGTATGGGACAAGATTTCTCTAGATTTGGGAAATTTTCTGTTATTATTTTGTTGACTATATTATGCATTCCCTTTCCTTGTACCTCTTCTCCTTCTTCAATGCCCATGATTCTTAGGTTTGGTGTTTTGATGGAGTTGGTGAGTTCTTGCATTTTCTTTTCACAGGTCTTGAGTTGTTTAACTAATAGTTCTTCGGTTTTTCCTTTAATTACCATTTCGAGTTCTGAGATTCTTTCTTCTGTTTGCTCTATTCTGCTGGATTGGCCTTCCATTTTGTTTTGCAATTCTGTTTCATTCTTTTTTCTGATGTTTTCCATATCCTGAGTTACTTCCTCTTTAATGTTGTCTATTTTTGTCTGAGTTCATTATATTTATTATTTTGTTCTTTGTTCACTTTGGTGTTTATACAGTGCTTCTATGGTTTCTTTTATTTTGTTCTTGTGCTTTTTCAAATTCTCTATTTTTATTGTCTTGATTTTTGAGTGTCTCCTGTACTTTTAGTTGACCATATCATCATCATCTCTATAAAATTCTCATTGAGTACCTGTAGTATTTCTTCTTTAGATTGTTCTTGTGGCTTCATTGGGTTCTTGGCATAGTTTATCTTCATTTTGTTGGAGTCTGGATCTGAGTTATCTGTTTCTTCATTTTCCTCTGGTTCCTGTACTAATTTTTTGCTGTGGGGAAACTGGTTTCCCTGTTTTTTTCTGTCATTTCCCTTGGTGTTGTTTGTCCCTGTACTGTGTGCAATTAAGTATTTTCTAGCTTGTAATAATAACAATGGTGATATTTAGAATGGAAGGTGAAGAGGAGATGGAAAGCAAGAAGTTTAAGAAAAAGGGAAAAAGAAATAAGCAACAAGTAGAAAAAACAAAAAACAACAAAAGTTTCAAAGATATAAACAGGGAGAGATAGTGTACTAACAACAGTAAGCTGAACAGATCAAGAGAGACAGAGAGAGGATTGAAAAATAAATAAATAAAAAATAAAATAAATGAAAAAAAAATCTCCAAGTTCAATGCAATAAAGTTTCAGTCTTAATAATTTTGTGTCAGTCCCACAGCCTCCAATCCTGGAGCTCGTGTCTCAGAAGTAGTTCTGTCTTGTCTCATCAAAGTGAAAAAACTAAAACAAACAAAAAAGCAACAAAAGCAAAAAAACCACAAAGTGGTCCCAAGTTCAAATGAACAGTTTCAGTAAGTTTTTCAGCATGCAGGTGTAGTTTCAGTTGTTTCTGCTCATAGGCAGAGAGAGAAAAAGAGTCTGGAGACAGTTCCGTGAATGGCTATGTGGGCTGTGGCTCACCCCCCCGCAACTGCTGTCAGCCTGCGTTGCTGGAGCTTTATTTATGCAGATCTCGGAGTGAGTTAACACTCACCCAAGCCCCTCAGGCTTGTTTACTCAGAGTCTCCTGGGCAGCTGCCACAGTGTTACAAGCTTTCCCCTTTCAAGCACACTGCGGGAGGTGACACTGCCCCTTTTTCAGGCCTGCGTTGTTTATTTACAGTTCACATTGACCTGGGTCTGTTCCCCCCTCTCCTGTGGAGTTTTCCTCCCACCGCATTTCACAAGCTTTCTGCTCTGGTTGCTGGTCGTGTACCGCCACTCCTGCCTTCTCCAGTGGACTTCTTGTGAGGGATTTCCCCCCCTCCTCTTTCGGCATTCAGGGCACCCCACCCTCTTCTGCTATGTATTCTTTTTTTTTTTTTTTTCCTGGGTGGGGGTAGGTCTGTGCAGGGGCTATGTTGAGCTGCGCCCAGGGTTTGGTTGTCTGTGGGAGTACTCTGCTGCTTAGCTCACCTTGTGGTCTGCGTCTTCCCAAGCCATCTGGGTGCTGCCGTCTGGCGGCGCCGTGGAGCCTTCTGGTTTCTCTGTTTAACGTGAAGTGGAGATGCTCTGTGAAGGATGGAGTTGTGGAGTCAAAGTTTTGCCTCTTAGTGGTTTTTCCTGTAAGGTGTATCTCCAGTGCATCTCTCCAATATTTTACTTTAGGAAGCACGCTTTCTGCTTCCTCCCTCTAGCTGCCATCTTGGAATCTCCTATTTATTTTTTTAAATTTGTTTTGTTTTGGTCGTATTGGGATTGGAACTCAAGGCCTCTGTTGAGCCGTGTACCGCCTTTTTTAGCTTAGTTTTTTTTTTGTTTTTTTTTTTCGATAGGGTCTCATGCTTTTTTTTGACCTGGAACACCTTGGACTGCAATCCTATCTCACCTCTTATGTAGTTGGTATTAACAGATGTGACTACTATGCCCAGATTTTTTTTGAAATGGGTTTTGCTAACTTTATTGAGGCTAGCTTTGAACCATGTTACTTCTAATCTCTGGAGTACCTGGGATTAAGTGAAGCCATTGCACCAACCTATAATGTCTTAAAAGTTTTGTTTTTGATAACTTAAGATGGTAAAGGTTTTATAGTGATATAGGATTATAAAGTTAAAAAATTGTATCTGATTGGTTAAAATGTTGGGAAGTTCACCTTTTCTTTCTTCCTCAACTAAAAAGAATAAAACAAAATTATGTATTCCTTCTTAGGCCAACTGAAGAAGAAGCTGAACAGTTATTGCAGTTGATGACAAGCCGTCCTCCTGCTACACCAGCTGGTGTTCGCTTTGTTTCCCTTTCATTTTGTATGCTGCTGGCCTTTTCTACACTTGTCAGGTACCTTTCTATATAATTTGTTCTGTTTTTCTCAAGGTGTGCTTATTACTTATTGCAGTGCAGTTACAGGGATTGGGAGTGGAGATTAGTGGTAGTGAGCTTGCCTAGCCTGTGCAAACAAGATCCTGGGTTCGATCCTCAGCAGTGCCAAAAGAAGCATGTATAGCATTATATTAAGACCTTAGTATAAAAATTGGTGTAGGTATGGACAGTTGTAGCTTCTTTTAATAAAAGGGTATCAGCATCCACTCTATGTCAACCGTTGTATTTATCTTTATCAAAGTTCCTTACGGGCATCGTTTAAAGGCATCAAAATAGTTAGTTCTTCAAGAACTGTTCAGGCCAATGGCAGTCATTACTCCGCTCATCCTTATTTTTCCCTTCCCTAGAGGCAAGATCTTTTCAATTCTTTACCTGATTAATTTAGGTTTTACTATTACATTGTTAATAACAAGTTCATATTTGATGCATTGTTATTTTTTGTTTTAGGCATTAGTTTGAGTTCCCCTAGTTAAAAATGAGGAATTTGTTCTCTTTTTTCTTTCTCTCTATCTGAAAACAGATCCACATGTCATTTTTATCTTGCCATTCTTCTAGTACAGTTGTACTTTTGATTAGATCAGTGTATAGTTGTTTTGTATTATTAGGATTATGTACACATTACTGAGAGCTGAAACATGCAGTAGATGATTACCTTTCTTTTTTTTCTTTTTGTTGGTGCTATTGTTTTGATCTCTGCCTCATGATTGCTATGCTGGCACTCTACCACTTGAGTCATACCCCAAGCGTGAATAATTATTTTTCTTTCCTATAAAACATTGATTTAAAAATTGCCTTGTGTTCTGTGTACCATGAATGGAACTTCAAACTCTGCAAAATTAAATCTCTTCTCAACATGTTCTGACTCATTAGATAGTTTATTAGTTTAATCTTTTCCAGAAATCTCACCTGAATGTTTTGACTTGCTCCATTGTAGACTGGTTACTTGCTGTACCTGGTAGTACACAACTACACAACCTCTCATCTGAGCATTGCCCTCATCTCCTATTTTGGGGACTCATTTCACATCTGCCATGTAAGGTCTTCTGTTTTCTGTATTCATTTGCTTCCTCATTTTGCTTCTTTTGGAAATGGGCATGTGGAAGCTAAATTCTTTTGAGACTGGGGATGGATTTCTATGCCATTATTCTACTCTTGATTGATAGTTTCGGGTATAGAATTTTATGTTGGAAATCATTTCCTTTGAGATTCTGAAGGTATTGTCTCTTTCTCTTCTAATTTCCAATGTTGTTGTTAGTGTCTAACATCATTCTGATTCCTGGTCTTTTGGGTAGCCTATTCTTTTTTAATATGGATACTTGTTGGATTAGCTGTGTCTCCAATGGTTTTAGAATTTCTGGATGATATACCTTGTTCTGAGTTATTTCTATCTATTGTCTTAATAAGTCCTTTCAACCTAGAAACTCATGGACTTCAATCATAGGAAATTTTCCTGAATTAATTTGTTGATAATGTCTTCCCCTGGGATTTTCATTGCCCTAGAACCTCTTTCTATTTGAATTATTCTTTCCGAAATCATCTTATTTTCTTACCTTTTTTTTTCTTGTCCTTATCTTTGTCTTGTTTTCCTTTTTAATAAACAGCTTCATTGAGATACAATTTACATGTCATAAAGTTCATCCATTTAGAGCATGCAATTCAGTGGTTCTTAGTTACTGACAGAGGTATTCAATTGTCAGCACAATATCACTTTTGTATACCTTCATCACTCCAAAAAGAAACTGCTCATTCTGCCTTTTAGGATTTGTCCTTAACTTGCAGTTTAATTTCTAAGAGCTCTTGTTTTATTGTTTGAATGCATCTTTATAGTATCTGTTGCTCCATGATGCCATAATTTCATTGATGTTAACCATAGATTTGAAGGTGTTTTATTTGTAGTGCTTTTCTCAAGGTGCTTCTTTTCTGTGCTTTTCTCTATTCCAGTTAGAACCCTTTCTCAGGTGTTTAATATTTCTTAATTGCTGGTGTCTTGGAAACTAAAAAGCAAATTAGAACCTTTGAATGCATGGGAAACTTTTGCACTGTTCAGTGTCCTAGAGAAGGCTTTTGTCTTGCCTAGAGAATGAAGGCCTGTCTAGAAACCCATGAACAAAGTTAAGAAGCACGTGGTAAAGGCTGGTAGATCCCAGCATGAAGTGTAATCATTCACTTAATTCTCCTACTTTCTGGATGGTGGTGCAGATATGCCTGGTTTTCCCTTAATTCAGGCACACTGTTTTACCATCTCTAGAGAACAGATCTCTAGTCTTCTCTCTACTGAGGGAGGGATGTACATCAAGTTGTATAGAGTGAAGGATGTGATTTGGATGCCAACTACTTATGTAGATTGTCAGTCTCTTCATTTTAGTATCTCTTCATTCTCCCAGAATTCCTGGGACTGCCAGTTCTGAGCCCTTTGGGAATTCTGTAGCATAGAATGGATTGGTTTCCCCATTCACTGTTTCCTCACGGCTGCTGTCCTTCATATGTTCTCTAGTTTATCATATTATTATCTCTCCTCAACATTTATGCCCTTTAAGAACTTCCTTTAATGTTGATTTAGTGGAGTTTCAGGAGGATGATTACATCCTATGTATGTAATTTCATACTATGTATGAAATGAAGAGCTTTCTTTTCTCTCTATTTGAAGTTTCTAAACATTACTTCTAATCCTCTGCTCTATAATGGCCATCTTTAATTGGTATAAGGACTAAAGTTCAGAAAGATTATTTAAGTTTCTTGTTCAAGATCACATTACCAGTGATTAGCTGATTTGGGATTTCCACTTAAGATCTAGCAGGCTCCAAAGGTATCTATTATATAACATACGTTTTTTAAAAAAATTTTTTTTCATTTATTCATATGTGCATACATTGTTTGGGCCATCTCTACCCCCTGCCCCCTGTCCCCTCCCTCTCCCCCCAAAACATTTTTTTTTTATTAGTGGAATGATTTAAGTATAGTTTTTAATTTTCCTAGTTTGGGGTAGTGGGAAAAGTATATTCTTTAGTTGTCTTTTTTTGTTTTTAAGCCTATTTTCTCTGTACTGAAGTAGGAAGAGAGCAATGACATTTTTTTACAAGTTAAAGTCAGCTTGTATCTTCCAGTTTTAAATCTAGGATTTGCTTTAAGTTGTGTTTTGTTATATTTTTACAACCATTTTTCTTATCTGGTGTTTTTCTATTTTTCATGATTAGAAATCATTTGTTCTCTATAAAAATTTTAATTTATTCAGTGAATTTCTATGAATTGAATTTCATTTTTCAGTTAAAAGATGAACTAATTTGTTACTGTTAGTGCTCAGTTTCTGACTTTTTGTTGCTTAAGTTTTAACACTAGGTTTTTTTTCTATAGAAATAATTTTCAGCTCTTCCATAGTTCTTTTAACATTTTAACCCCAAAGGACCTTTGTTTTTCCAAGGAAGTTGAGAAGTTCATTCTCTGTTTTTTGCAACTATGGTACTTTGAGAGTTTGTTCGGATTCATGAAGAAAAGCAAAGAACCTCATACTTGGGCTCTAGAACTACCTCAAATCTCAATTGCAGTTAGTGGCTCAATTTAGTGAACAATTAATTTGACTTGGTACTTCAAAATATGGAATGAAAATAAGTACTACCAAAGATAACTTTAAGTTACTTTCTTATCTATGTGCTAGTTTAACTGATTTAAGCTTGTAACATTCGGGTATGTTTTATATAGTACACCTGAACAGGAGCAGCTAATGGTGGTGTGGTTAAGTTGGATGATTAAGGAAGAAGCTTACTTTGAGAGGTAAGGTTACTTAACTGGTTTCATTTAGCTGGGAAAGCTTTTGTTACTCTTTCCTCAGAAATTCATAGTTTGTTTTCTGTTCCAACAGTACTTCAGGTGTCTCTGCTTCCTTTGGGGAGATGTTGTTATTGGTGGCTATGTACTTTCACAGCAACCAACTTAGTGCTATCATTGACTTAGTCTGTTCCACTTTGGGGATGAAGGTAATATTCTTTATCTTTTTTCTAAAAGGAGGAGTTTTAAGCTAGACATTTTATTGCAGTATATAATAAGTACATTGTTTTCATTGAAGTAATTTTAGTTCTTGATAGTTTGAAGTTCTACCAGGAAGTCTTAGAAAAAAAATACAGTTTGAGTTCATTTATTTGTAATAGATGTTCACTCTGGAAAGCTTGGAAATCATAGAAAAGGGAAAAATATACTTTCATCATTCAGAGATAATCAAACATACTATTGTTAACATTGCAGTGTCTGTTCTTTTTAAAAATGATACAGCTGTTTTGTAAACAACTGGGCTGGTGGAGTGGCTAAAGTGGTAGAGTGCCTGTCCAGCAAGCAAGAGGTCCTGAGTTCAAACTTTAGTACCTGGAAACAAACAAATGAACAATACTGGCTGCCCTGAACCACAATAAACAAAAGAAAACTTACTAGTATAGGATGACCATTTCTTCATATCAGTAAATGTTGTAATACCATGTAATTTTTTTTGTTTGTTTGTTTTGGTACTAGGGCTTGAACTCAGGGCCTAAACACTTACTAGGCAGGTGCTCTACCACTTGAGCCATTCCATCAGCACTGTTTTTTTTCTGTTGGATACTTTTGAGATAGGGTCTTGAGAACTATTTCCCTGGTCTGACTTCAAACCTTGATCCTCATGATCAGTATCTCTAGGATTACAGGCATGAGCCACTGGTGCCTGGCTATAAAGTAATTTGTTTTTTATTTTACTGTTTTTTACATTTACTCATATACATTATTTGTGCCCCCCCCCACAACATCTGGCTACAATGTAATTTTGAATGGCTATTTTATAGTCCATCTTTCAGACTGATCATGATTTTTGAAAATTTATTTTATTTTAAAATTTCATTTATTTATTTATTTATTTTAGTACTGGAGTACTGGAGTAAGCACTCTACCACTTGAGCTACTCTGCCAGCCAGTGATTTTCTTAATGGGTCCTTAATTTGCCTTGTAGATTTTCCAATTTCTGTACAATGCTTAAATGAATATACTCATTTTTACATAAATATACATACAGGCACTCATACACGTTTTCTCATATACTTGTCAAACTAGTTTCTTGAGATGAAATTCTGGAAGGTAATTACTAAGTAAAAGAGTGTGATTATATTAAGGTGTTTCATGAGCTTTGTCAGATTATCTTCTATGAAGATGGTACCAGTTTAGCTGTTCCATTAGTGAGTGAAAGCTCCTGTCTCCCAAGTCCCTACTGTTACCATCACCAGGCAGTATCATTCCTTTCAAGTTTTGCAAGTTTGATTAATGAAAAGTCATTCCATTTCTTTTGTATTTCTTTAATTATTAGTGAAATTATAGTTTTTAAAATCATTGTGTTTTAGCTGGTTTATTTCTTTTATGAAAAGTTTATTTTCAGTAGGAATTTTTATTTTTCTTTTCACTTATTCAAAAGGACCTTATATATATAAAAGATATTCCATTATACTTTACATCTCACATTTATTGATTGGAAGATAATATTTTACCCAATATTGAGATTGAGGATCATTTTAAAGTTGATATGTAATTAGAATGTGATAGTGTTCTTTCCTCACTTTTTTTTTCCATTAAGCTACTTTTTAATCAGTGATGCATTTTAGTTTCTTTATTTTACATAAAAATTTTTGGCAGTGCTGGGGTTTTGAACTCAGGGCCTTGTGCTTGCTAGGCAAGTGCTCACTACCTCAGCACTTTTAGCTTTAGTTATTTTGGTTATTTAGCTATTTTTGGAATATGGTCTCATGTTTTTGCCATAGCCAGCCCAGACTTCGATCCTCCTATTTAAATCACCTGCATAGTTGGGATCATAGGTGTGCACAGCCACACCTAGTTTTATTGGTTGAGATGCTGGGGGAGTTCTCACTAACTTTTTGCCCAGACTGGTTTTGAGTTGCTATCCTCCCCAGTAGCTAGGATTATAGATATGAACTATGGTGCCCAGTCTTTGTGGTTTTTTAATTTTTGTTTTTGGTGGGACTGGGGTTTGAACTCAGTGCCTTGCAGTCTTTGTGTCTTTAAAATTGAAGAAGTACAATATGTTGTAATTGACTTTTTTTCCAGTTCTTTTTGCCACTTTGCCATGTGGAAACTATGATTATTTTCATGTAGTAAATTATTTCTTTTGTGGTTTGTATTTTACTATTATGCTTAGTTAGAAATGTTTCTCCTTCATTAGATTTATATGAACATTCTCTCCTTCCTTAGGTTTATAAAATGTTCACCTGCATTTTTTTCTAGCTTCATGTTTTGCATTTATTTAACAAATTTATTTATTAATTTCATTGTGTTGGGGATTTAACCCAGGGTTTTGTTTATCCAAATATGTGATCTACAACTGAACCATATCCATGGTCCTGAATTTAAATCTTAATCCAGTTGAAGTTTATTTTGATGTGTGGTACAATGTATGCAAAAATTTTTGTGTGTGTGTATATAGTACATATATATGTATATATGTGCGTGTACCTTTGTATTCATAGTGCCCCCACAGGTAGCTATCTCAGCTCCATTTATTGAATAATCCATGACTGATTCAAAATGCTAATAATTAGTATTATTTGCTAAGTACTTTTTAAAACTAACTTACTTTATTTTTATTTATTTTTGAGATGAGTCTTACTTTGTTGCCCAGGTTGGCCCTGAATTCCTGGGCTCAAGCAATCCTCTTGCCTCAGCCTCCCGAGTAGCTGGGACTACAGGTGGGCACCACTACACTATGCTTTTACTCTGTATCTTTTATTTTGGTTCTGTTTCTGAAGGAAAATACCCTTTAATGTTGGATTTGAGAATCCACTTGTGAGACAGAGTATTTAAACATTTGAACATTAATATTACATATTGTATCTATTTTAGATAATAAATTCACCAGAGTAAATTGTGTTTCATATATTTTTCCATGCTGTTGTTATTCTTTTGATTCTTTTAGATTGTTATAAAGCCAAGCTCCTTGAGCAGAATGAAGACTATCTTCACACAGGAAATTTTTACTGAGCAGGTACTTCTTTTTGGTGTTAGTACTGATTTACCTTACTTTTATAACATTCGAAAACTTGTATTTCTCTTCTTAAAAGAATACAGCCTTCTTCTTAATTTGTAATGATGATTGATTTGCTCTTTGAAATTTTTGTGTAGTCCATTTAAAATATACTTTTAAAGCAACTTATTACTTTTATGTGGTTTTTTTTTTGGCAGTATTGGGGTTTAAACTCAGGGCTCATGCTTGCCATGCTAGGCAGGCACTCTACCACTTGAGTCACTCTACCAGCCCTTTTTTTGTCTTGGGTATTTTTGAGATAGGATCTCTGTCTGGGCTGGCCTTGAAGGTTAATACTCCTGATCTCTGCCTCCCAAGTAGCTGTATTGTAGGCGCTTGGGTTGCAGTTTACTATTAAAATGTTCTTCCTTCCTTGGGTTTATAAATGTATACCTATATTTTTCTTTTTAGTTTTTTTGTGTCTTCATGTTTTGAATTAAAAGTTTTTGTACAAAGTATGTTTTCAATTTTATGTATTTTTGGAGACCCTGAGTGCACACCTAAGGTATAGTCTTAGATATTAATAGTGCTCATGTGGGGTAATCGTTTGGATTTCTCAGGAGAAAAATAGAGACCTATTTAAGTTTTTATGATATAATGTTCTTTTTTAATTAGATTATAAGCTAGCATCCAAATTCCTTATTCTTTGTGTTTACATGTTATTTGGCTTTAGCATTTTTGTCTATGAGTAAAGCTAAGAATATTTTATTTTTTAATGGCATCCATTCTGAAATTTAAAATATTCCCCATATTCACTTATCAATTTAAATCTTAAAATATAAATATAAAAAAAGTCTAAAAAATGAAACATTTGAAAATACTCAGGATTCTATAATTCTTGCTTCTTTTATAGCAATTTATATCCCCATCCCTGCACTAAACTCTCCCTCTTCCCTGCATGCACATACATGTGTATATTTCCATAATAAAGTAAAATATTTTAACAATTGGTTTTCATCATTTATTCCTAGGACTATACTTAAGTATTGATAGTCTACCTACCAGACTTCCCTTTTCCCAAATAATTTTGTATTTGGTTTTATCATATGTATTAATTAATATTATTTTTCTCTTTTAGGTTGTCACAGCTCATGCAGTTCGGGTCCCTGTCACCAGCAACCTGAGTGCCAACATTACTGGCTTTTTGCCTATTCACTGTATTTACCAGCTTCTCAGGAGTCGTTCCTTTACCAAGCACAAAGTGTCAATAAAAGTATGACCATATATCTGTATTTTAAACTACAACGTTAGTTAATTCTTTCTCCCTAGCTAGATCTCTTTCAATTTGTAGGCCTTATGTAGGTTTTGTATATGAAATGTGTGCTGTTAAGCTATGTAACTAATCACTTACCCAGTTGCATATTTTTACTTTTATTTGGTGGAACTGGGGTTTGAACTCAGGACTTCACACTTTCAAAACAGATGCTCCACTGCTTCAGCCACATCTCCGGTCCATTTTGCTCTGGTTATTTTGGAGGTGGGGTCTTGTGAACTATTTGCCTGGGCTGGCCTTGAACTATGATCCTCCTTACCTTGTACTCTCAAGTAGCTAGGGTTATAGGCATTAGCCACTGACTCCTGGCCTGATTTCAGATTTTTTTTTGACAATACTGGGGTTTGAACACAGGGCCTCATGCTTGCTGGGCAGGCTTTCTACATTTGAGCCACATCCCAGCCCTTTTTTGTTTTAGTTATTTAGGCATATTTCTTTGTCTGTGGCTGGCCTCAGATCAAGATTCTCCTATGTATGCGTTCTGCATACCTGTGATTACAGGCTGCCTCACCAGACCTGATCCCCAATTTTAGATTTTTTTAAAAACAATATAACTTTAGTATGCATTAAAGTAAGTATGTATATGTGTGTATATAATATACATGCTAAAACGTATAGTATTGCTTGTTTAAGTTCTCAGTAATAACACATAGCTATTTCATTACTACTTAGTGAGAAATGGCCATTTTCTAAATTTTAGCTTTGTTCACCAAATTGGGAAGCTACTTGTCAGCCATGACCAGTATTTGCAAATTTGTTGCAAAAACATGCAACTTAGACATATAAATATTTTCAATTTATAATATTAAGCTATAGCAAATAATTAAATGGTCTGCTAAAGAAAAGGCTGAAACTCAGATATAAATAAATATTCCTGAAGCATTTATTTACAAATGGCAATGAATGGTGTCTGCATGATATATCACTTCAGTTGTCCTCTTTTTACATTTAGTTTAGTTATTTTGCTGCTAGATTGTATCTTTTGATTTGTATTTTCATCAAGTAAAATAGGTAAGAATTAAGACTTCAAAAACACACACCCAGCATTTTTCTTATGTCCTCTACCCATAGGTAAGTAGTCGTCTCCTATTAGTGCTTATCAAACTTCCTTTCTGAGTGTTTCGCTCTGAATGATCCCTCTCATTTCTTTTCTACTGTTAGATCTTCCATGACAACACATATGGTGCTCTAACTACAGATGTAATAGAGACTTGAATGTTTTTCTCATTACATAAAAACTAATTAGCCAGGTGCCGGTAGCTCATGCCTGTAATTCTAGCTGCTTGGGAAGCTGAGCTCAGGAAGATCACAGTTTGAGGCCAGCCTGGGCAAATAATTCGAGAGATCTCATCTTCAAAGTAACTAGATCCAAATGGACTGGAGGTATGACTCAAGCAGCAGAGTGCCTGCTTTATAAGCATGAAACCTGGAGTTCAAACCCCAGTTCCACCACAAAAATAAACAATCAAACAAAAAAACCTAATTAAGCCAAATCCAGTCTTATCATTTTAGGATCATCTTTCACTGGACCATACTCTTAATTAGGATTTAAAGGTAATTCATATTTTTAAATCAAGGATAATTATGAAGGTAGATAATATATTTGGATCTATCAAAAGTTAATATTACGTTTTATTGATTTACAAGTCATGTCAAACTCTAGGTGCTGCTTCTATAATTATTCCCAGTTTTGCTTATTATCATAATTGATTAAGTACATATAACTTTCCTTTGTAGGATTGGATTTACAGACAGCTGTGTGAAACTTCTACACCACTCCATCCTCAGTTGCTTCCTCTGATTGATGTGTACATAAATTCTATACTTACTCCTGCATCGAAGTCTAATCCAGAAGCCACAAATCAGCCAGTCACAGAACAGGAGATACTCAGTATTTTCCAAGAAGTCATTGGGGTAAAAGAGTGGTTCTTTTATATCTATTAACTTAGTTTTCTTTTAGTTCGTTCTTCTAACTTACTCTAAATTTTGTCTCCTCATAAGACTTCTGGTGATTATGAATTAAAAATTTTCATTGGATCACCTATAAAAATAAAATAATACTGTTAGCTTTGAGTGGTTTGTTATAAAGGTACCTTTTGAAGAGTTTATGTATATATATATACATACATATATATACACATACATATATGCATGCATGTAAATATGTGTGTATGCATATACGTATGTATAAATGACAAGGTCTCACTATATAGTCCAGGCTGGCCTTGAACTTGTGATCTTCCTCTCTCAGCCTCTGAGTGCTAGGATTATAAGCATGCACTACCCCTCCTTGCTCAAGTTCTTTTGGAGTTTCATTTTAAAGTGTAAAGGGTACTCTGGAGATTGTGTATTTGTTACAGAACAGTATGACATTTCAACACATTTAGCATAGTATTGTTTATCTTCTCAGGAATCTTAAGATATACCAGATGCATTTAGGGAAAATTTGATGAAAATGTTTTTTTTCTCATTTTGTTACAATGGAAAAAGAGTTGCATTTTTCACAAATACAGTTAAGTATGAATAATCTTTTTTAGGAATTGTTTTCTTCATGGTAATTTCATGTAATACTTGAGATTCCTGTAAGATTACCTCTAAGTCTTTCAGAAGCAGACTTATGGGAATGCTATTGATTAGTACTAGCTAAAGTCGTCTTTAAATTTTTTGTCCTAGCTTAAAGGCTAGGTAAGCATGCTGCCTTTCATTTATCATACCATCTCAAATTTCAAATTTCAGACAAATTTCAAGTTGTTTCTGAGTTTAATGCAAATACAGCAACCTTCGTCCTGGTTTATTTGAGTTTGGGAGTAGCAACACTGGGTAGTTTATCTTTGTTTTGCTGTTAAGAATAAGAAAAAAAACACTCATGCAATTTAACAGTATTTTAAAAGTTTGTAATATACCTTCAGGGTGACAGCATCCGCCTTAATCAGCGTTTCAGTATCACAGCGCAGCTTTTGGTGCTTTACTATATACTGTCTTATGAGGAAGCTCTTCTAGCAAACACAAAGACTTTAGGTAAGTTGTGCACAGGCTAGTGGTTCTACTAGTTCATTTTATTTGCTTGAGTTTTGTTATTTTCCAAGATGTTGTATGTTAAAATAAGGCCAAATATTCTGGCAAGCTCTAGCATCATTTTCTAATCTTTTCAATGAAGACATTTGATACTTTGTACATAGGACATGTATGTGTGTGTGGGTACATGTCCACCCCTGATGACTCAGTCCTCCTTTTAAGCAGGCTAAATTAGTAAATAACTGAATTGTCTGTATTTTAGCAATTTTATTAATCTACTCATTAAATATAAATTAAGAGTTCCTGAAGGAACTCTAACTGAAATTTTTTTGCTTGATTTTAATCTTCGCTATATTTTCCTTTAATTAGTGTGGAGAGTAATATCCTACTTAAAAACAATAGAGGTCCAGGATGTAGTTCAATGGTAGAGCGCTTGCCTAGCATGCACAGGTCCTGCATTGGATCTCCAGCACCAAAAAACAATAACAACAGTAATAACAACTAAAGGTCCCTAGAAAACAGAAGAGCTTCCTCTTGCTGTTAAAATTTTAGCTACTTCATATATATCAGAAGAGCAGATTTAGCATTCAAGATATAAATAGAAAGTAGTATGCTTTCTTATACTTGTTAAAGAAAGTTCACCTGTATTTGGACTTACTAAATGTATGTAGTTTTTAATTTATTTCTCATATTTGAAACAAAAGTATCATTAAAAAACTATAGGCATTGAGTATATAATGCAGTGAAAATTCATTTAAGAGTGGTTATTTTGCCACAAATGAGTGATTTTATTTTTTGAAATGCTATAAACCAAGGGCACTTTTCAGTATTTGGCAGATTAGTTTCTTTTTTTGTGTAGCATCGTATTTTAAATATAATGTGGAAACAAACTTTGGTGGTGCCTCTGGCTCATGCCTGTAATTCTAGCTACTTGGGAGGCTGAGACACAGATTGTGGTTTGAGGCCAGCCTGGGGAAAAAGTTCATGAGACTCCCATTTTCAAAATAATCAGAGTAAAATGGACTGGAGATGTGCCTCAAATGGTAGAGTGCCTGGTTTGCAACTGCAAAGCCCTGAGTTCAACTCCAGTCCTAACAAAAATTTATATTGTGAATTTCTCAGTTGTTTTCTTTCCTGACTATTACAATTGTTATACAATAATATGCTATAACTGTAATTATGTCTTTGTATATTAAGGAAAAGATTACTAATAAACTTTAGGTCATCTACCTCTTTTTTTTTTTTTTTTTTTATTATTCATATGTGCATACAAGGCTTGGGTCATTTCTCCCCCTGCCCCACCCCTCCCTTACCACCCATCCGCCCCTCCCTCTCCCCCCCCCCCTCAATACCCAGCAGAAACTATTTTGCCCTTATTCTAATTTTGTTGAGAGAGAGTATAAGCAATAATAGGAAGGAACAAGGGTTTTTGCTGGTTGAGATAAGGATAGCTATACAGGGATTGACTCACATTAATTTCCTGTGTGTGTGTGTTACCTTCTAGGTTAATTCTTTTTGATCTAACCTTTTCTCTAGTTCCTGGTCCCCTTTTCCTATTGGCCTCAGTTGCTTTTAAGGTATCTGCTTTAGTTTCTCTGTGTTAAGGGCAACAAATGCTAACTATTTTTTAGGTGTCTTACCTATCCTCACCCCTCCCTTGTGTGCTCTCGCTTTTATCATGTGCTCAAAGTCCAATCCCCTTGTTGTGTTTGCCCTTGATCTAATGTCCACATATGAGGGAGAACATACGATTTTTGGTCTTTTGGGCCAGGCTAACCTCACTCAGAATGATGTTCTCCAATTCCATCCATTTACCAGCGAATGATAACATTTCGTTCTTCTTCATGGCTGCATAAAATTCCATTGTGTATAGATACCACATTTTCTTAATCCATTCGTCAGTGGTGGGGCATCTTGGCTGTTTCCATAACTTGGCTATTGTGAATAGTGCCGCAATAAACATGGGTGTGCAGGTGCCTCTGGAGTAACCTGTGTCACAGTCTTTTGGGTATATCCCAAGAGTGGTATTGCTGGATCAAATGGTAGATCAATGTCTAGCTTTTTAAGTAGCCTCCAAATTTTTTTCCAGAGTGGTTGTACTAGTTTACATTCCCACCAACAGTGTAAGAGGGTTCCTTTTTCCCCATCCTCGCCAACACCTGTTGTGGTGGTGTTGCTAATGATGGCTATTCTAACAGGGGTGAGGTGGAATCTTAGTGTGGTTTTAATTTGCATTTCCTTTATTGCTAGAGATGGTGAGCATTTTTTCATGTGTTTTTTGGCCATTTGAATTTCTTCTTTTGAGAAAGTTCTGTTTAGTTCACTTGCCCATTTCTTTATTGGTTCATTAGTTTTGGGAGAATTTAGTTTTTTAAGTTCCCTGTATATTCTGGTTATCAGTCCTTTGTCTGATGTATAGTTGGCAAATATTTCTCCCACTCTGTGGGTGTTCTCTTCAGTTTAGAGACCATTTCTTTTGATGAACAGAAGCTTTTTAGTTTTATGAGGTCCCATTTATCTATGCTATCTCTTAGTTGCTGTGCTGCTGGGGTTTCATTGAGAAAGTTCTTACCTATACCTACTAACTCCAGAGTATTTCCTACTCTTTCCTGTATCAACTTTAGAGTTTGGGTCTGATATTAAGATCCTTGATCCATTTTGAGTTAATCTTGGTATAGGGTGATATACATGGATCTAGTTTCAGTTTTTTGCAGACTGCTAACCAGTTTTCCCAGCAGTTTTTGTTGAAGAGGCTGCTATTTCTCCATCGTATATTTTTAGCTCCTTTGTCAAAGACAAGTTGGTTATAGTTGTGTGGCTTCATATCTGGGTCCTCTATTCTGTTCCACTGGTCTTCATGTCTGTTTTTGTGCCAGTACCATGCTGTTTTTATTGTTATTGCTTTGTAATATAGTTTGAAGTCAGGTATTGTGATACCTCCTGCATTGTTCTTTTGACTGAGTATTGCCTTGGCTATTCGTGGCCTTCTGTGTTTCCATATAAATTTCACGTAGATTTTTCAATCTCTTTAATGAATGTCATTGGAATTTTGATGGGAATTGCATTAAACATGTAGATTACTTTTGGGAGTATCGACATTTTTACTATGTTGATTCTACCAATCCATGAGCATGGGAGATCTCTCCACTTTCTATAGTCTTCCTCAATCTCTTTCTTCAGAAGTGTATAGTTTTCCTTGTAGAGGTCTTTCACATCTTTTGTTAGGTTTACACCTAGGTATTTGATTTTTTTTGAGGCTATTGTAAATGGAATTGTTTTCATACATTCTTTTTCCGTTTGCTCATTGTTAGTGTATAGAAATGCTAATGATTTTTCTATGTTGATTTTATATCCTGCTACCTTGCTATAGCTATTGATGATGTCTAGAAGCTTCTGAGTAGAGTTTTTTGGGTCTTTAAGGTATAGGATCATGTCATCTGCAAATAGGGATATTTTGACAGTTTCTTTACCTATTTGTATTCCTTTTATTCCTTCTTCTTGCCTAATTGCTCTGGCTAGGAATTCCAGTACTATGTTGAATAGGAGTGGAGATAGTGGGCATCTTTGTCTGGTTCCTGATTTTAGAGGGAATGGTTTCAGTTTTTCTCCGTTAAGTATAATGCTGGCTGTAGGTTTGTCATATATAGCTTTTATAATGTTGAGGTAACTTTCCTTCTATTCCTAGTTTTCTTAGAGCTTTTATCATGAAATGGTTGGATCTTATCAAAGGCTTTTTCTGCATCTATTGAGATGATCAAGTGGTTTTTGTCTTTGCTTCTGTTAATGTGGTTTATTACGTTTATTGATTTTCGTATGTTGAACCACCCCTGCATCCCTGGGATGAAGCCTCCTTGGTCGTGGTGAATAATCTTTTTGATGTGTTGTTTGCCATTATTTTATTGAGGATTTTTGCATCAATGTTCATTAAGGAGATTGGCCTATAGTTCTCCTTTTTGGAGGTGTCTTTGCCTGGTTTTGGGATAAGTGTAATACTGGCTTCATAAAATGTGTTTGGCAGTTTTCCTTCCCTTTCTATTTCGTGGAACAGTTTAAGGAGGGTTGGTATCAGTTCTTCTTTAAAGGTCTGATAGAATTCAGCAGAGAATCCATCAGGTCCTGGACTTTTCTTTTTGGGGAGACTCTTGATTGCTGCTTCAATTTCATTTTGTGTTATAAATCTATTCAGGTGATTAAAACTGAACTCTTGGTTCAGTTTTGGATGATCATATGTATCTAGAAATCTGTCCATTTCTTTAAGATTTTCAAATTTATTTGAATATAGGTTCTCAAAGTAGTCTCTGATGATTTCCTGGACTTCCATGGTGTTTGTTGTTATCTCCCCTTTTGCATTCCTAATTCTACTAATTTGGGTTTTTTCTCTCCTTATTTTAGTCAGATTTGCCAGGGGTCTATCGATCTTGTTTATTTTTTCAAAGAGCCAACTTTTTGTTTCATTAATTCTTTGTATGGTTTTCTTGCTTTCCATTTCATTGATTTCAGCTCTTATTTTTATTATTTCTCTCCTTCTATTTGTTTTGGGATTTGCTTGTTCTTGTTTTTCTAGGAGTTTGAGATGTATCATTAGGTCATTGATTTGGGATCTTTCAGTCTTTTTAATATATGCACTCATGGCTATAAACTTCCTCTCAGGACTGCCTTAGCTGTGTCCCATAGGTTCTGGTAGGTTGTGTTTTCATTTTCATTGACTTCCAGGAACTTTTTAATTTCCTCTTTTATTTCATCGATGATCCATTCTTCATTAAGTAATGAGTTATTTAGTTTCCAGCTGTTTGCATGTTTTTTGTCTTTACTTTTGTTGTTGAGTTCTACTTTTACTGCATTGTGATCAGATAGTATGCACAGTATAATTTCTATTTTTTTATATTTGCTGAGGCCTGCTTTGTACCCTAGGATATGATCTATTTTGGAGAAGGTTCCATGGGCTGCTGAGAAGAATGTATATTGTGTAGAAGTTGGATGAAATGTTCTGTAGACATCAACTA